GATTATATTAGCCACCATAAACAGAATATTTAGAGGTTAAGAGTTGCCTCAGAAAAATTTGAATTGTTGACATTGAACTTAACAATGGAAACAATCGTTTTTGTGAAAAATTGAATTGCATTGTTGACATCAAAACTAAAAATATTGTGTTTCAACTTAATAATACTACCTTAATTTATACTTTAGAATTACCTCGGAGAAATTTGAATTGTTAGCAATGACTTAAACAAAAAGTTTTATTTTGACTGACAAATACTATATTATAATTTAAACTTTTTCTATGACTGTACTCATTTTCTTACACTTTTCTTTGTTTTTTATAGATTTCATTTTTTTGTGATAAAATAAAAAACTTATAGTTGTTCTGCTTCTGAACACTGATGAAAACACAAAATGATATGCTTCATCAACAATCAAAAATATATACATTTATTTTACAAATTCCATATTATTAACCTTCAGAGAATTAAAAATACAAAATTATCTTCATCAAAGCCGAAGCTTTACATCCAGCGTTCAGTGGCAGACTACTATTTCATACTGTTTAACAACAAATGGCTTTAGCCCTCTGGTGGGAAAGACTTTAAAACAAAACTTACAGCAGTTACTTTTCTCAACAACTGAAATTTAGAATAGTGTGATTAAGAAAAATATGTGAACTGTTTGCAATTTCAAATTAATATTAAAATGTACAGGATCAGAATTTTCTACAGTGAAAATTTTTCGGAACTTCAGTATTCAAAAAAGTATACAAGAACTAGACGTTAAGAACATATCCAATGACCGAGCAAAACGAGCATTGGAATGCGAAGCAATCCGAAATGAACTGTGAAAGCAGTTCCGGGGGTTGGTGAGCGCCAGCGAGCAGGGGGCGAAGCCTCCTAGTAAAAGTAATAATACAACATAGGATACATAAATATTTGTTTGAAATGAAATTGCGATTCTCGCAGGATGAAAGCGTTGCTGAATAGATCCAATTTAGGGCATAAAAATATTTTCTTTAGATCAGTAGAGAGCTTTTACGTTACGTTACGCTTTCCCGTAAACGTTAATTAACCCCTTGGGGACGAGCGATTCAGAAAAGCATTCGTACAAAATCAGAATCAAGTTGTATTTAAATAAAAAACGGTAACTTAAATGTGGTCTTTGCTAATTTGACAGACTTACTTTGCTTTTACTTTAATTATTGTTAGTTTAATCATATATATAATCTATGTTAATTCAAAGTATAACTAAATAGTTTTATTTTGAACAAAGTAATGGTGAATTAAATAAATTGAACAATTATAACTCCGCCCACAAATAAACTGCTAAAGAAATACTTTGATTACCAGTTTTATCTTTTTATCCTCGTTGATACGGTTTTATGCTGTCACGTATTTGTGACAGTCGGCGCGAAAGGGTTAACTTATTAGCTCAAACTTATTAAACTTATACATTAGATTAAACTTATTAGCTCAAGCGCGAAAATTAACCTAAAAAATAGCGCATGCCTCTAAATATAGCTTTTGCAATACGTATGGAAAACCTTAACACAAACGCTAGTCTTGAAAAGCCGCACATTTTTTAGTATGCTAAGTTGATCGCGCTGTGTGCCGTTTGTTTGAGTTTCCGAAAGCCTTTTTTTTCTTAATTTTCATTTTTGTTTTTAATACTTTTTATTTTCTTTATACTTTTTAAAAAATGAATAATTTGTTGGAATAGGTAATAGACGATGGTATAAAAGAGAGCTAAATAGAAGAAACGTTTATGCTAAAATAACCGTAGCTTCCATAAGAAATGTACTTCAGATAGGCAGGATATTCTTTGATATGGAAGAAAATATTTTTAAGATTTTACAATTTTACTTTCAATATATTTCGTTTATTTATTTATTTATTTTTTTTTATCTTGTATCCACCAGCAATCTCGGTGGGAGGCGACCGCTTTATCCTCTGATCCACCACGGCTCTATATTGAACCGAATATTGATCCCGAGAAGAACTAGACTATGGTAGACCTACCAAAGTGAACTAATTCGATTTATTTGAATTGCTTTAATGATTCGTTTCGCCCAACTTTACTGTTTCTTCACAGTAGGTTTAAGGGAAGCGTCATTTTGACGCATTTCGAATTTTATAAGGAAAATTACAAAACCCGTTTGCATTTTTATTTTATCTCTTGTAAGGACTTTTATCCATTGATCGAGGTAAATATATATTGCTGTCTATTTCTTCAAAAGAGTGGAAATATTGAAATTCTCTTTGTGGTTTATCTATCTCTATGCTCTATGGATATGCGTCAATTTGACGCGATCGTAATTTAGACTAAGTTTTGAGTAAACATGCAAACATCACATCAATAAAAAATAGGAATGTACCGATAATACATCAATCCGTTATCCGATACCTCAAATGAAACAAGCGTTAAACAACTACTGCCAATAAGCGATAATAGAAAGAAGAAATGCAGAATGTCAATTGATGTGAGATTTTGAAGGTTTCAGTGGCTTAGTTCGAGTATTGAAATTCGTGACGTATATTCATGACGTATCTTCAGCTCTAAGAGAGGAATGAATCAGCCCTTCTCTCTTTTCTTTATCCCTGACTTTAGGAAAAGGTTATGATTGATAGTAACGCCTACTTTTTATTACTCAATGCTCTTATTCGAAATGCGAACAGCATTTGGTAATCATTTTCCACGAAAGACATCTAAAATTTTCATCAAATCGCCCTTATACTTAAAAAGAAAAAACAGTTGATGCCCGTAGCTTTTGTTTAATTTTAGAACTATTGAATTATGCTTGTGATGCGTGCTGTTTTACTTAGTTATATCGTAACCACACCCCTAATGAGGATTTGAATTTATGTAGGGGTATACTTCATCCCTGACTATATAATTCTGTCTTTTCAAAGGCAGCGAAAGCTAGTCTTGATTTCGTTAAACTTGCTGAGTACAGTTGAGAGGATAGACATAAAAGAATTAAATATTGATATATATATAAAAATAAATTACAAAAACTGGTACA